CGGAAGTTGAAGCAACTTCGAGGCAAAGAGATTTCTTTGGTGAAGGTCGCTTGGGGAGGACCGGCTGGTGGAAACGCGACTTGGAAGCTTGAGAGTCAGATGCGTGAGTCTTACCCCGAGTTATTCGTTTGAGGTAATTTTCGAGGGCGAAAATCTTTTAAGTGGGGGAGGGTTGTAACACCCCAATTTTTAGTAATTATTTATTAATTAAATTAATTGATTAATTGTGTGATTTTAGGCCTAATTGAATTAACTAATTTATGTGATTTATTTGATATAATTGAATTAGTTGATTTATTGAATTTATATAAATTATTTGATTTATAATTGATTTAATTTTATTATTTAACTTATATGATATATTCTAATTTGTAGAATTATATAGAATTATTAGATTAATTGATTGGGCCTATTTGAGGGTGTGAATAGATATGAGTTACTAAGCCCATTAAAAATTATTAGGTTAATGAATTTTGAGAATTTTATAAAACAAGAGAAAGGAGATAGAAGAGAATAGAAATGTTAGTAAGAAAAAGAGGAAAAAAGAGGCAACAAGAATAGAGTGGGGAGGAAGAAGAAGAATCAAGAGAGAGCTCAAGAACACCAATAAAATCAAGGTAAGGGTGGGTTTTTGCATGTTTATTGAGATTGTTTGATAATAGTTAGTGGGTAGAAATATATTTAGATTAAAATCCCCAAATTTCCATGAAATTGAAAATGTTAGGTTTTGATGATAATCCTTGAAAATGTGTTAATTTTAGTGTGTTTGGAATTGATATTTGATATAATATAGAGACCCATTTAATATTTAGAGCATCCATTAGAATTGAAATATATATATTTTGGGAACTGTAGCACAGGAACAGAACATAGAAAGTGAGAATGAAAAACAAGATAACTCTCTCATTACTCCACTTACTATAGCATACTATAAATATGTATATTGAAGCCTTGTGTTAATTTAATTGAAAATTAGTTAATGTCATGCGAATACTGTAGCGGAAATGCCATTCATATTAAATAGACAATGTGATTTCTCTTTTCATTTATGGTGTCATGTAGTAATGAATTATAGGAGACAAGTGATATTGTTAATTTATGTGCCATTGTAGCTTAATAATTGATGGACAATGAATAAAATATATTTTGTTTAATGCTTTCATTGCACCTGCTGTAATGCAGGAAAAATGTTCTTAGATGATAAAATTGTGTGTTCCCCTATAGCATAGCGTAGCACATGAAATGGTATAGATTTAGGAACTGTAATCAAACGGGACACCTTAGAATTAGTGTTGCCTACAATTAAGCCATGAAGTGATAATCTTTATTATTTGAACTGTGGCAAACTGTGTGCGTATTTGAAACCCAATGGAACTGAAATGATTCTTTAGCATCAATAGCTGTAGCACATATGTATTAGAAGCTAAGTGGAATTTTTTTTATCATGCCATGTTCTTAGACCCATGTTTAAATTAAGAATCCTTCTTTTAGTTTATTAATATATTTTACTTCATTAGTCTAAATATTTAAATATACTTCTTTATTTAATTTTTGATACTTATTTTTAATTATCATATAATGTCACCATTAATTTAACTATTGTAGCAATAATGCAAATAGGAAATAATGATAGGCAATGAAACTTGGATCTTTTTCTTTTCTACTCCATACTGTAGCAAGAGACATTAAGAATGAAGTCGTCCTTTCACTTCTTGGACTGTAGCCAAACAAAAATGTTATATTTTATAAAATTAGGATAATATCATTTGAAGAATTGAAAATGTGATGAATTGTTTAGCTTACTTACTGTAGCAGAATTTTATTTTCCAAACAAAAGTGAAATTGTGGTGCATTGTTAATGTAGCGCATCACATATAGTGAACAAAATATGATGATTCATGGTAATATTTACTGTAGCACAATACTTGATTACTAACCAAAACATGATATTTTATTAAATTAGGACTATATTAAAATAATTAATATATTTATTGAATATTTATTGAATGTTGAATTTAGTTATTGATGATAAATTAATTATTTTATGTTTAACTGGTATCGTATATTTTGTGAATTGAGGTTGAATTGTGTTGATAATCATGTATTACTTGCTAAGTGTAGTGAATGATGCTTGGAGTAATGAATATTATGATTTGAAAATGTGATTGTGTGTGCAATGTGTGGTAATTCAAGTGTGATGAATTATTGAAGATATGCATGAATGTTAAGATTAGGGAATGATCTTAATTGCATATAATTGTTGAATTCGCACATGCATCATTTGTGTCAAGAGGCAATGCTTGTTAGTTCCGTGGGAGCTAGTGACTTGTCCCAAACCTAGAGCGGGGTTTGAAAGCTTAGGGAATGGGCTTTTTGTGTGTTATTGGTCTAGGGAACGGACCCGGTTTAAATGTAAAAACCGAAAAATAATAACAAGTGTTGGTACCACATGGCATGAGTTGCATTGAGTCTTGCATTGAGTTTTGCATTGAGTCTCATTATGTATATTTATGTGCTATGAGATTATGTGTGATATATAGAACTGATAAATTGGTGAATTATGGAATTGTGTGTATATACTTGTGAATAGTATGGTTACTTGAATAATATTGTGTTGATGAAACTTTTGAAGTGTGAGAATAATAGTGATTATGTTTGTATGCCTTAAATTATATATTATCTTATAATTTCAATAATTATGTGAATTCTCACCCTTCTGTTGGAATGATGTTATACGACATCGCTCAGGTACTGAGGAGTAGAGTTGCTTCTGACACGAGGTAGCCGTTGGAGTAGCTTGAGTTGTGTCTTTATTTATTTTGGGTCGAGTCATGCTCTGATTATGTAACACCGGGGAATATTTTGATTTCATATTTGGAGAGATATTTTATGTACTCTACTTTATTTTGTTGTTGTTATTTTGAATTATATGAAGAATTGGCTTTTAAGCCTAAGTATTAAAAATGAGATGAGCATGAGACTTTTATTATGTCTATCATGATTAAAGCAAATCCGCTGCTACATGTTAATGTGAAGGTGTATGAAAAGCAGGATGTTATTTTTATATTATTGAGCATGACAGGTGTTGTGTGATGTTTTAAAAAGTTATGTGACACTCTTTTATGAAATGCATGATAATTACTCTGATCTATTTATATTTATTCTGCGGGGTTAGAAGGGTGTTACAAGTTACGGTTGTTTTCTACCTAGTGACTGATAGTCGGTAATCTTTCCATTTAGCTTATTACCTTTGCTTTTACTCAATGACCGATAGCAGGTAATATTGTCCCCTTTCATCCGATTGGTTATCTTTGTTTTTTACCCAGTAACCGGTAAATGATAATCCTTTCTTTTGAGTTATGGCCTTTGCTTTCTACCCAGTAACCGATAGAAGGTAATATACCTCGTTTCTTCTGTAATTTGATTACCTTCGTTATCTACCCAGTAACCGGTAGTTGGTATCTCTTCCCCAGTTGATTTGGGTTCTCTTCCCTTGGTGGATTTGGATATCCCTTTTTGATATTCCATTTTCCCGGCGGAGACTTGCTTTGTTTTGTTAAGGTCTCCCCTGTTGAATCCTTTGTACTCTAACTATGTTTTGGGTCTCTTTCCATACATATTCTTCCCTGAGTCAAGTTGTTTCCCAGTGATTTATTTCCCTGGTAAACCTCCCTTGTTTCCAGCAGTTGTGTAATGTAAGTTTAGCCTACACATCTGTCTTTCCCCTGTGGAGTCTTGTTTTTTCCCCAGCTGGGTTCCCTTTGGAATTTGTCATCCCCTTACGAAATTTAAATCTCCCTGTTTCTCCCCCAGCGTTTATCTGTCTCTTGTGGCGTTGTGTTCCCTACAGGGATCCTTTTCTGCATTTGTTCATATCATATCATGTGCATTTTGTAGCATTTTAGGGCCAAAAATTGGGTTATTTGTTATATTTAAGTCTCTCTGATCTCATTGAGAAGAACATGTCAATCTTCGTATATCCGAGTAGAATAGACTTAAATAGGGACATCTGTCATACCCTAATTTTTAACCCTAATATCCCACTTATCATGTGCATCTTTACACAAACAAGATCTCATGTTGGTTCTCCCCCATCTCATCCTTTGGGGTTTTGCTTTTTAGATCACCAAACACCCTTTTGTATGTTTTCATCTTTATATTTATGTGCTTATTATTCAACTAACCACTAATCAAAATGCAAAAAATATGTCATGTTTCTTTAAGCTCATTATGCAAGGTAGAGCATTTCATCAAGAGCATCATGCTTGGTTCCTCAATTAAAGTTTTGTTCCCTCAAGTCAAAGTGTGAACATCCATTGACTCCCAAGGACTTATTTCTCAAGATATGGCTTGTAATATCAAGTTCTATGTTCTTGAGCATCTCTCAATATCATTTTGAGTAAGAGTACCTCAAGGTTGTGTAGCTTGTTTCTCTATAAAGTCAAAAGTTCACGTGATTATTTACATGCCTTCTTCAACAAGTTATCTCAAGCCTTGGTCAATTTAACCAAAGAAAATTCATGGACATATTATTTTGGGTTCATATGATCATCCATGTACCTTTGAAGTGCAATAAAATCTCAATTATACAAGTTAGTTCAAGAAGGTTTGATCAAAAAGTTAACATTTTCAAATCAAAGTTCCAAGGACTACAACTTCTTCAATTCTCCATATTTTTGAGTGCTTCTTTTTGCATATGACTCTTCTCAACATCCTTTATAACTTCTCTTTACATGACAAGAGTCCACCATTCTTGTAGGATCATCAAAAGTTTGAAGACATTATAGGTTATTTGTGGATTTAGTGAAATTTAACCTATTTTCAAGTGACTTTTTCGCAACTTTCAAGGATCACAACTTCTTCAATTTTTATCCTTTGAAGCTGATTCTTTTTACAGAATATCATTTACAATGCCCTTTACAAGTTTTCTTCTTCAAAAATTTTTTCTCTTCTTAATTTTGTTCATACATTTTTCAAACCTTTCTTTGTGAAGACATAAGATGAGTATTGTGTATACTCAAGCTCATAACTATTCTCAAGTTGAGCCAAACCTTATTGATACAAGCATTAGTTTTTTCAATCAACAAATTTTCAGAAATGATAATGAGCAATACTATTGTCCCTCCACAGGTTCAGAAATGGAAACAATGTTTACCAACTCTCAACATTTGGCAGCCAAACAAGAAGAAAATGACCCTTTTTTATCACACTACAATGGTCACTCTTCTTATGTATCATCTTCAAATCAGATGATTTACCAAACTAAGCAGAATCAAGGATTGCCTAATGATTTTGACGCTTCATTTTTGGCTTCAGAGAATTATGACGCAGAAACTAACATTGATTCTTCTACTAAGAATTGCTCCAATCTCATTAGGCACAAGACTTCCCCTCCTGGATTTTTCTCCAATTATTCACTTCATAATGATACTATTAACATGCCACAAAATGTTCAAAATGAAACACTTCAACCAAGTTGTATTAACAGTAAAAACATTGGAAAATGGTACATGCCTAGCTTCACTAGTAACAGTTGGGATAGTTCTACATTCAATGCCCCAAAAACATCCACTATTAATGGTGAAATCATGTTTTCCACCTCAAATGCTTTGGAATCTCAGGTACATAAAAGAAATGTGTGTGTAAATTTTTTATATTAATCACCATGACATTTTATTTATCAACTGTCCAATGATAACAGAAACGCTGACATTTTTGATTTCGTATAGTTATTTATGTTGTATAAATGGTGTCGTGTTCGGTTGGCGTCAAAATCTATTTCATTGTTGATAAATGAAAATTTATGTTACTAGGAATTAAACTTTGGATACCAAAAACTTGGTTTGAGCCACCATTTGAGTCTACCGAGCTTTTCTACAAGGATGACTAGTATGGACAAGTATTTTCACATTAAAGGATCTATTCCATGTAAAATTCGTGCCAAAAGAGGCTTTGCCACTCACCCAAGAAGCATTGCAGAAAGGGTAAAATTCTAATCTTGTTATTAATCACAATTATATGGATACATTTGCTCTAATTTAATGAGCTTCTTCATTTGTTATCTTAATGTGAATATTGCAGGAACGAAGAATAAGAATTAGTGCAAGAATCAAGAAATTGCAAGACCTTTTCCCAAATTCGAATAAGGTAATATAAGTTTTATATATATTGGACTCAATGCGGTAAAAAAAATTTAATTACAGTTTAATTTTAGACCCTATACGATTTGCACACCCTCAAAGTCAGGCCCTGATTCGGGTGCTGACAATGAAGTTGGATATGCAATTTGATGAGTTATTTCTTGTAATTCTGTGTTGGCAGCAAAGTAGCACAGCAGATATGTTGGATGTAGCAGTTGATTACATTAAAGACCTTAGGAAACAACTTAAGGTAACTACACAAATACAATACATTTTTATATTTTTTCAATTATTGCAATGAATTCTAAACTGTCTTATCATGTAACTTTATTTTTCATCATGCAGATATTAAAGCAAAGTGCACTTGTAAAAGTAATTAGAAGAAATGTTTAGATCTTATGCCTGATTTTGATCCTTGTAGATAACAAAAGGAAGGACAAATATGTTTTTAAATTATAATTTAGTTTTGCCTAAATAATGGCAGGTGTGATTATATATAGAATAACTTTATAATATTTTTCTAATTTGTATATAGTTTAAGGTCCTGCTAAATATCGTTTCAATTTAAGGTCCTGCTAAATATCTAAGGTCCTGCTATGGTGAAATCAAAAATCTTGTTGATGGATTCTTTACCTATGAACAAAATATTTTCTATGGTTTTACAACATGAACGGAAAGGTAATTTCACTCTTTCTGATGATTCTCAAGCAATGATAAATGCTATAGGATATCAAGATCAAATTATGCTTGGAAGGCCTTGGAATTTGTTGGAACATTATAGGTCATTTTCTGCCTCAAAGACTTGGAATTTTTTAAGTATGATGACCAGTTTTTCAGGCCAAATTCAACCAAATAAAACCTTTCTTGGCACTTTATAAACTAGGATATGAGGACTACACATTACAAGAAGAATGATAGAAAAAAACCTCTTGAGTAGGATGCCCCGTCAAGGTGAACATGGTGACTTAAAATTGAAGAAAGCTTCATGATGTTGATTTTTGATTCATTCTAATTTCAATTAGAGGTCAAATTAAAGTCAAATTTCGTGCCTAGTAAAATTTAGAAAGTATCCAGAAGTTGTTTGGCACTTGAAATGCAAGTTTTGGTTGAGTTTTGATGACTTGAGAGTCACACTTTTGGCATGATGAGGGTGTGCAATAATTCTCCAATTCTTTAATCATTCCATCCCTCTCAGCATCCCATTCTCTTCATCTATAAATAGAGGGTATCTGTAATACCCCAAATTTTACCCTTTCTTTTTTATTTTATTTTATTTTTTTATTTTATTTTAAATTCTTATTTAATAAATTAACCTTTTTTTTTTAGATCTTGTTTTTTTTAACTAATAATAATTTAATTAAATTTTTTTTATAACTTTACTAACGTTTTTTATTAACTTTTTTTTTCTTTTTCCTTTTCTATTTAGTTTATTTATTTAAATCATTTTAAGCTCTTCTTACTAACTTTTAGGATTTAGATTAAAATTTAACTTTTTTTTTCTTTTCTTTAAGAGTAAATTTTTTTTATAACCTTTTTTAAATTAATTTCTAACACATTTTTTAATCAGATTCTAATACTTTTTTTAAAATAAAAATCTAACTTTTTTAAAAGCTAAATCTTTTTTTTAAACTTTTTTTAAAGCTAAATCTTTTTTTTTCTAACTTTTTTTAAAGTTAAATATTTTTTTCTAACTTCTTTTTAAAATTAAATCTTTTTTCTAACTTTTTTTAAATCTTTTTTCTAACTCCTCTTTAAAGTTAAATCTTTTTCTAACTTTTTTAAAGTTAAATATTTTTTTTTCTAATTTTTATAAAGTTAAATCTTTTTTTCTAACTTTTTAAAAAAAAATTAAATCTTTTTTTTCTCTAACTTCTTTTTAAAGTTAAAATTTTTTTTCTAACTTTTTTAAAAAAATTAAATCTTTTTTTTTCTCTAACTTCTTTTTAAAATTAAATCTTTTTTTTCTCTAAATTCTTTTTAAAATTAAATCTTTTTTTCTAACTATTTTAAAAATTAAATCTAACCTTTTTTTTTTTATAAATTAAATCTATCCTTTTTTAAAAAAATAAATCTAAATTTTTTTTGACACCATCCTTTTTCAAATTAAAATTCTAAATTCCTTTTAAAATTAAATTCTAATGCCATTTTATTTTCTTTTTTAAAATTAATATCTAAATTTCTTTTAAAATTAAATTTCTAACAGTTTTTAAAATAATTCTAACACTTTTTTTTTTCAACATTCAAATGTTTTTTATTTTAAAATTCTAACTCATTTTTTTTAAACTTAAAATTCTAATTTTTATTTAACTTGAAACTCTTATTTTCTTTGCTAACTTTTTAAATTTAAATCCAACACTTTTTAAATCAAATCCAATCACAATAAATCACAGATGGAGCAAAATCAAATCAATCAGATCATATCATCATCATAAGAAAATCAGATCTAAATATCAACATCACCATCATTGAATCAAATCTGAAATCATCATAAAAATTCATTCAAATCAAATCAGAGATTGAAAAAGATTGAGATATTCAAATCAAATCTGAGATTGAAAAAGATTTAAAAATCAAGTATAAAAGGACCCTCAGAAGCAACAAAACGGGAGGATCGACAAGCATCAAAAACTCTTGCAGTCTTCATCAAAAGTAACTAACTCTTCTTTTTTTAATTTCTAATCTTTTTTATATCTTTTTTTCAAAATTTCTACCATTTTTTCTTAATTAAAATTCTAACATTCTAACTCTTTTTTTATTAAAATTCTAACCTTTTCTCTTTTATTTTCAAACTTTTATTTTTATTTTCTAACCTTTTTTTTTAAAAACCAAATTTCGAAGTTCTAATTTTTTTTGCTAACTTTTAATTCTAACATTTAATCTATTTTCTTTTTCTTAATCACGTTAAAAACTCTAACTTTTCTAAATTTCACCCAAAAAAAACCTAATTCCCTTCTAACTCTTTTCTAATTACCTAAATTCTCATCGTCTCAAAACGTTCATCACTTAACTTCTAATTATCGTCAATTCCAATTTTTATCCTTCATTCCTAACAGTATTATTGATTATCCATGAACCTGTTCACTAATATTTATTTATTTATTTTTGTATTTATTTTTATATTTGTACATAATCTAACATCATCGTTGCTATTTCATATTCCATTATCACTTGTATATTATCGCCATCTTCTTTGCATATCAATTTTCATTGTTTATTAATTTTTCGCTAACATCCTCATTTTTAAGATCCAAATTTCTAACTTTTTTCTTGTTTCGTTAAAATTATAATTTTCTACTTAAATTCCTAACATTCCCGTCTAATTTTTTGTCTAACCCCGTATAATAACAGTCTCTGTTTGTTTTAGTTTTTTGCAGCTGACTAAGTTCAATTGATTTTATTTTCAGTTTAAATATTCAATTATCATATTTGTAACTGCTTATGGGATGTAATTTTGCGAGACAATTGTCGCATTTATCTTTCCGCACTTTATTTTCTGCCGTTGTATGTATATTTAATTTCATCGCATCTTTATAATTAATTTCACTCCTCCGAAGGAATTAGGTCTAGCCGTTTGACCGCCACGCCAATAGTCCTCAAAACTTCAAACCCTTACAACCCTTACAAACCCTAATTTTTCATAAATGTCTCGCCGCAGGCAAAATCACCATTTTACCCCTAGCATTAGGTCAAAGAGCCGCCGCGCTCATTTTAGGGTTTCCCGCCGTGGAATCCCTAATTTAACCCTAATTACAACTTAACATTTCAACGTAGAAATTTGGAGTTTCTACACTCCACGTAAGCGTGTCCTTAAGATATGTTTATTCCACTTGAGACCTTGACCACAGTCAAGAAGTTTCTAACCTCCCTTTTGAGGGGAACTACGATTACTCTGATTCCACTCCCGTAAGGATACGTAGGCACAAGATGCGATGTCTTGCCGAGTAAACTTAGAATTAACCCCTTAGGTCTCTTTTCTCACTTTTAATCCTTTTGTACATATACCTTAAGCAAATAAATAAAGCAAATAGTAAACATCCGAACAAAAGGTTCCTGTAGAGTACTACAGAAGTTTAGGGTGCTAATACCTTCCCTAAATTTAACCAACCCCCGAACCCTAGATCTTTCCCCGCATTGTGTTTACGATGCAAAGTAGGTTTTCCCTCTTTTGACCTTTTCCTTCGGATAAATCAAAGAGCGGTTGTGAATTGAATTGCGATTCAAACTCATTAATAGTTTGTGATCCTATTTCCACCGCAACAGAAAATGGCGACTTCACTGGGGAGAATCTCCTTACTTTTGAGGGTTATCCCTAACTTGTTCATATTTATTGCTATCTGTGTTATTATTCATTTGCATGTATATATTTGTGCTTTGATTGTGGGACTGTTCCTTGTGCTGTGAGATGAGTCCTACACCCGGATCTAGTGTACCTTAGGTAAATGGCAATAGACCAAGGAAACTGTATGACGTATATCAATACGGTTGATCTGGTGGCCATAGTTAGTGCGACTTCGTGGTTGGTGCTTATATTCCTTAAGTCAAGTTGAGGATAATATTGAGGCTGCCATATGTTGTCAATGCACTAACTGACTTTTAGAACCCTAGTTAACTCATCTTGGCCTTTAGAAAGTAGTGAGGTAACCGGCTTTGGTGCAGACTGAAGTTGGTTGACACTCGATACTACGCTCATTGAGATCTTAAACATGGAGGGTTTTGGTTGGTAAGTAAGTTGCCTTCTGAACAACCACCCTTGTGAAGGATCAATGATATTGAGATCCCTTAGAACCTGGTTACTTTTGTAGGACAGGATGAACCATCTAACTTCAGGGGAGGGTACTTGCCTTTGAACCTCATGCAAGCCTTTAACCTAGGACTTTGTGTGTTTTCATGCATTGCATCCATAAAGCATCTCATCGCATTGTATTTCATGGAGTTCAAACATCATTTATGGATATCGCGGGATACCATAAATAAATAAATAAAAATATAAAATGAAAAAACAAGAAAGAGATTTCCTTGGTACCCCACGACATTAGTAAATGTTTTGAATTCCATGAAATCTTCATTTACATTCACATTTTAGCATCATACTTTTGCATTGCATGTGTCTCCCGATTTCTCACGCTCAGTTCTCTCACCTTCCAGTTTTGTCACCCTGAGTTCTCGGCACCAATACAACACCAGAGCTCAAACTCGGAAAAGAATGGAGGATCAGGCAAAAGAGATTGATCGCCTTAGCAATGAACTTGAAGACCTTCGAGGGGGTATGGGGCGTATGATGGAATTGTTACATGTCATGAATGCTAAGATGGATACCCAGCCCACTGTTGTTTCTGAGATTACCGGCGTTACTGTGGACCCTCCACCAAGTGTGACCGTAGCAAGGGACCCAC